TAATATTTTGTTAATATAATATAGTTTTGATATTTTTTTACCTAATTTTTTCATAAATTTAACTGATAAACATATATATATAAATGATATATACACCCTCTAAACCTTCACACCCTCCACACACACACACACCTTGTTCACCCAATAAAATAAATAGGGGTACTAAGATACTCTTATCTCCGGCTTTTCTGCTACAACATATTGACACCTATCTCTCATAAACTTGCTTACAGTTATGTAATCCTTTGGCTAAAATCTTTCCATAATCGATTCAAAAGTGATAAAATCGCTGCAACAAGGTTTATTCCTTTGGTTGAGTTTGTTCCGTTTGAAAGAGTCGCTACAACGAAGAATTTTTTTTTTTTTTCTCTCAAAAAGTGCATTCATAACTGTTTTGCTAACTGTAATTTAACTAAGAATGTATCAATTGAAGTGGTTGCACTGACGACTGCCCCCTTTTGTAATCTCACCCATTCTATACATGCACGATAATTTTCTTGCCTTTGTAGTTTTTTGAATTTCATAGTTTTTTTATTCCAAGAATTTACTGTTTAAATGTTGACTCCAAAATTTGAAGTGTAATATGTTCTGGGTTCAATTTTCTATTTAAATGGATATTTCTGCTACTTTTTTGAAAATTTTTTGTTTAACAAAGTTCTCTGAAGAAGATGATTGTTGGTGGTATCGGCTCGGTGTCCAGCGCCTTTTCTAACTGGGTGAAATGTTATGGAAATTTTTTACACACTCTTCATAGGTGTGAAATTGAAAACTAGCCTAAAAAACTCAACAGTCAACAAAGTGGAAGAAGATGGAGAAGCTTAGCAACACAAAATTTGGGGGTGTTTGCTTTCTTACACAAAACAACCATGAATGGTAGCATAAGAAAATCTTTCCCCAGCTAATTCCAAACTGTGAGATATTCATCTTTTAGTCGGTATGTAATGATGATGTGCATAAACCATCATGTGTGGATATATATAGTTTAATTGTTTTAGTTTTTTTTTTCAATAAAAATTTATTCAAATAATATAATTTTAAATTTCTTTTTTTTTTTTTACAGATTTGACTGATAAACATTTTTTTTGTATATATATATCACCAATATCTATATATATAATATTTAATTTCCCATTATTTACAATAAAAATATTTTTATCCATAAAAATTTTAAAATATTGTATTGGATTAAAGGTAAAAAGGTTTTTTTTTTTTTTTTACAGATTTGACTGATAAACATTTTTTTTGTATATATATATCACCAATATCTATATATATAATATTTAATTTCCCATTATTTATAATAAAAATATTTTTATCCATAAAAATTTTAAAATATTGTATTGGATTAAAGGTAAAAAGGTTTTTTTTTTTTTGAACAAATTCGCATGAGATCAAATTCGAACTGTTGCCATGAGGTAGGAGAATGCATTTATATATGACCTGACGTAATTGGACTTAAAGGCCAAGTACAGGTAAAAAGGTCCATTTTGGTTCTCAAAAGGCGTAAGTTCTAATTAATATAAGGTTAAACGCTTAAATGTAATCTATAACAACATATACTTAAATTTAATCAATTATATAATTTAAGTTATAGTAAATTAAATCTTATGCAAGCAATGTCACTAAGAAAGCTATTATTTAATGGCAACTCTTTTATCATTTACTTGAAACCGAATTGAAAATGGATCATCGGTTCGACTAATCGATCTGGTCTAGCTCTTAAAGCATTGGTACACCAATAGCTTATTTTTGTTAGAAAATTGATTGATTTAGATAGATGAATACTCTTAAAACAAGACCGTTTAAGACTCCCCGTTTTCCTTTTTTTTTTTTCCCCTTTTCCCCTTCAACGTGCAGAATCTCCTCCTTTGCTAGTAGAACTAGCCTCAGACGGCCTCCTAGTGCTATTTATGGCCTCCGCCACGAATTTCTAGTAGCAAAATGGTGTGTCTTTTTGCCAAATATCTCTTCAAGCCCTCAAACTTCTACTCTCAAAGCTAATGAGTTTCTGTCACCTGCCATCGGAAATCAACAACTATGAAGCTAGCGACTCCACCAGAATTTCTATTGGAACAGAGAGTCCACGTGTCGTGGTTCCATCAAGTGTTCCTAACCATTTTTAAAAAGCATAAGTCATAAAATAATTGATTCTATTATAAAAAGCAGAAAGAAGAGAATCAAATCATATATATTGATTGATTCGATTATAGAAGAAAAGAATATTAAGTTATTATGAAGATTGTTCAATTAAGGAGAAATTAATTTATTAATTAATTGATTTTATAAATTTGATATTGATTGTAATATCATTAATTGAATATTTTTAATTAATTTTTATTTTTTTATAGGAAAATGATAGGTACACCCTTGGTTCAACACATTTTTTGACATACTCTCAGTTTAGTCATTAAAAATATAATATAAATACAATTAATTCAACTGGTTCTTGTATTTTGTATGCATAATTATATCATTAAACTTGTATGTTTTTAATTTTAAACTAAAAAATAATGATTTTTTAATGAGTGTGTCACGCAGTGTGTTGAATGGAGTTTGTGCCAATCATTGTCAGTTTTTATATTATGTATCTGTCATCCTCTAAATAAGATTGCTTATATATAAGAAAATAATGAAGAATAAATGTGCAAGGCCAAAGACTTTTATATTGTAAACTAGAGGGACCTTGATGCATCAAAACATTTTGTCATTATCTCGAATCACGTAATATCAGGTCTTATTTCTCTCACTTATCCTTTATTTTATTGATCATGTTTTTATGTTATCATGATATTTCTATCATATGAGATTTTCTCATTATATTAGAAACTTCTTTAATTTCTTGACCGAACTCGATAATTCTTGACTCGTTTGACCTAAGCTCAAAACCACCAAAATGACTTCATTTTAGGTC